AGTGTGCGGCTGCTGAAGAGCAGTGAGGTTGGGGCTGTCACAGCTGCCCCCAAGTGACATCACAGGGGTCTCTGGGGCTGCCCCCCAAACCTGGCAATGGGCAGCCCAGTAATGCAGGCAGGGAACCCCAGTGACCTCCTCAGTGCCAATGGAGCGCCCTGACTGGGCTGCTCCAAGGGCTGTCAGGGAAGAAGGACTCGCCCCTTGTCTGCCACGGGAAAGCCCCAGAGCTTGGAAGGGACCTCTGAAGGTCATCTTCTCCAACCCCCCTGCTCAAGCAGAGCTGCCTACAGCCGGCCGCCCAGGACCATGTCCAGGTGGCTTTTGAAGACTCCACCAGCTCTCTGGGCAGCCTGTGCCATTGCTCCGTCACCCTCACAGTAAAACAGTGTTTCCTGATATTCAGGAGGAACCTCCCGTGTTTCCATTTGTGCCCGTTGCCTCTTGTCACTCGGCACCAGTGGAAAGAGCCTGGCTCTCTCTTCTTTACACTCTCCCTCCAGGCTGAGAGTACAGCTTGATGAGATCCTTCCCGAGCCTTCTCTTCTCCAGGCTGAGCAGCCCCAGCTCCCTCCTCCCCCTACCTGCTGGCAACACTGCTCCAAATGCAGCCCAGGAGACGCTTGGCCTTCTTGGCCTCCAAGGCACATTGCTTTCTCGTTTTCCATTTGGTGTCCATCAGAACAACCCCCAGATCCTTTTCTGCAAAGCTTCTTTCCAGTCAGCCACCCCCCAGCATATATTGGTGCATGGGCTTGTTCCTCCCCAGCTGCAGGACTTCTCAGTTCCACTAGTTGAACTTGATGATGTTCCTTTTGGCCCATTTTTCCAGCCCATCAAGGTCCCTCTGGATTGCAGCTCATGGTGTATTAGCCACTGCTCCCAGTTTTGTGTCATCAGCAAACTTGCTGAGAGAATACCGTGCCCCATCATCCAATTAATTAGTGGAGATGTTAAACAATATTGGACCCAGTATTGACCCCGGGGTACACTGCTAGATGGTCTTCTCAGTCCTCATGTTGGCCACAGCCACGTGATTTGAAGTTTCTTAGCTTTTTCTCCTTTTCTTATCTTGTGCGACAAGCACTGGCTGACAGTAGAACATTCGTTCCAGCCATGCCCAGGTAACCAAAGGTAGCCTGGGTGGAAAGGAAATAATAAATAAGTGAAGCTCTAATTTTTAAGTATGATGCAACAGAGACATCTGAAAAATTCATTCTGATACAAAAGAAAAGAGATGAAACTGATTCATTTGGGGTAACTTGGTGTTATGAGCAGAGGAACAGGTTGAGAGTACAGAGGAGGAGGCCTGACAGCTGGAACAGGTAGGATTTCAGTGGGGGCAAGGAAAGTGTGTGTTACTAGGAGTACAAGAAGCTGATCATCTGGTGGAAGCTGGGGTGGGTAGCACAGGTTTTGAATTGAACAGAGTCAGGATAGACTTTACTGAAAGTTTTGTATATTAGTTGGTTGGTGTTTTGAGGATGTTGGGGAGAGAAAAGGTGATGGAGAGAGTTACATTAAGAGGAGAGCACTGAAGTGCATGCCGCCATGGTAGAAAGCAGACCAGAGAATAGAGAGAGTTATCTACACGGTGAGAGAAAAAACCCTGGGCAAGGGCAGAAGATGGAGCATATGTATAAATACCAGAGGGGTGGTGAACATTCTTACAGAAAAGGAGGCCTTTAAAGTTGGAGTACTGCTGCATTAGATCCTACATATGAGTAAGAAGCATCTCAATAATTGTGAAAACTTCAGGTAGTCCTTTTCAAAGTATTTGTCCTTGGAGAAAGAAAAGGGTTTGAATTTGGCAAAGGGTTAGAGGCATCTTCTTTCCTGCTTATGACAGGAAACAAGGACAGGCTGCCAGTTCCATATAAAAAAGAAAAGAGCAACCTCCACTGTCCACTGTCAGAAGAGAGAGAAAAAAAGAATAAAAAGAAAGAAACTAGATACATACCTGCTCAGCTGGTTATTCAGTGTATGGGAATAGAAAAAGCAGCTCACAGATGAATTACAGACAAAGTTGTAAGCATCCTAGCACTGGCTGATATGAAAGAGCATGGAAGGACACAAAAGAACCTCTGATACATCCTTCAGTAGTCAGCAGGAGGGCCAAAAAATAACTCCGGCACTACAATGTGGGAGGAGAACACCAGTTTTGCAGTTAGCTGTAACGGCTCCTCACCTTAAAGTATCACTTAAAATACTGTTTCTCCTCTTCCAATCCCATTTTCCCCACCACCCTCACGCCTTTCAGCCGGAGATGATGAAGATTGTAAGCACAGTTTTCAGTCATGGTGAATTGGACTGTATTTATACTTTCTTCCACTGTGGCTATTTCTTATGGCCTGAAGTGATGGTATGAAGGACGGTGTCCTACAAAAGAAAAACCTTGCTGAGATAACAAAGTTCTTCAAACTATATTTTAAAATAACTAAGCCATTTATCAACAATCTTGGATTTTTTTCATACAAAAATTGGTATAACTTTATAAGAAAAGCTGACTCAATTAATTTTATATTTAAACATATTCCATAGTTTTCTGAGAACTCAAAGGCTTTGACAACTTTTTATCTTTCTTCTCCCTCCAGAGCAAGACAGTCTTAAGGAGAATACTAGCCTATTAAACTGAAATTTTGCTACTGACTTCAGTGGGCTAGGGTTTCAATAAGTGGGTTATTATGGAAGCACAAAGGTGCAACAGTTTCTTCTGGGAAGAAAAAATACATGTTTTTTCTAATATTGATTAGGCAGGAGAAGAGAAGTAAAAAACCAAAAAAATTCTTAGCTTCAAGATGTTAGTCAGCATATAGTGGATTAGGTAAAAAAGGAAATAAAAGATAAAACTTCATGTTTTCTGTAATCCTTACTAATGCCCCATGGAAACTAAGAAGAAAGATGAAATAGCATATTTGTTTCCAAATACAAATCATGACATAATGCAGTTACATTTTCCAATAATATTTCTTAGATGTGGCTGTTAGCTCAGAGGTTAAGAAATTTCAGATGTTTAGATTAAGTATCACTATCCCATGTAACAGGTAGTCAGGGTAAAAAAATCACAGAATGAATAACCCTGTCCAAGGTCATCAGAAACCAGCAGGTCTACTAACATGGCCCTTGTGTTCTGAGGCCCAAACTAATGGCCTGTGAAGTCAGCCACACTACTTCTCTTTAAATGTTTTTCCTTGCTGATGTGTGCACTGCTGGTATTATTTCTTTGTTGTTTCTCTTTAATTTTATTAGTACAATAAACTGTCTGGATCGTGTCCAAGTTTAGATCCATTTAATCTCACTACAAAGAAACAAAGCTATTATGGTACAAGGAAATTAGTGTCAAAAGGTATACAGAGCAAATGTTTTATTTTAGTTCATCCTTTGTGCTGACTGTGAAAATGTGTGGATATAGACTCAGAAGTATGCACATCACCACCAGTCGAGTGGTGCATTATCTGCACAAAATGCAGTACATTACAGGATGTGCATTCACTGTCTTGATCTTGTTTGGTTACATTGAATAGACCAGTAGAACTGCAACAGCTTAGGTGCACTCTCCTGGTTTCAGCTGGGATAGAGTTAATTTTCTTCCTGGTAGCTGGCACAGTGCTGTGTTTTGGATTTAGTACAAGAACAATGTTGATAACGCACTGATGTTTCAGTTGTTGCTAAGCAGTGCTTACACTAGTCAAGGACTTTTCAGCTTCTCGTGCCCTGCCAGTGAGAAGCTGGGAGGGGGCACAGCCAGGACAGCTGACCCAAACTGGCCAAAGGGCTATGCCATACCATGTGACGTCATGCTCAGTATATAAACTGGGGAAAGCTGGCCGGGGGGCCACTGCTTGGGGACTGGCTGGGCATCAGTCAGTGGGTGGTGAGCAACTGCACTGTGCATCACTTGCTCTGCATATTCTTTTATTATTATTGTTATTATTATTACTATTTTATTTCAATTATTAAATGGTTCTTAACTCAACCCATGAGTTTTCTCACTTTTACTCTTCCAATTCTCTCCCGCATCCCACTGCAGGCAGGGGGAGAGTGAGTGAGCAGCTGTGTGGTGCTCAGTTGCCAGCTGAGGTTAAACCACAACAGTCCTTTTTGGCGTCCAATGTGGGGCACAAACGGTTTGAGATAATAACAGATTAACCAGAGCGCATTAAGGAATTTATATCTGTTAACAGTTGTGGGTCACAATATTTATTCATCTGTTCTCGATATTAGTTTATCTGATCTGCATCATGCTCTTTTTTTTGCTGTACATGCTAAAGATTAGTGTTGGTTTTTGCAGTTTGCTGCGGTCTGCAGTGATTGGTGATATTTTGCCTGGGAGGTTTGTTATTAAAACACTGGCCTTGAGCTTAATCTGGTATTTGAGCTTTGTACTGAAGCCATTACTGTACTTCGGGTACCACTTCGTGGAGATGATTAGCAATTACAGTTCTTCCTCTGAGAGGTTTTTTATGGAGGAAATACAAAATGGCAGCGTCGCTACCTTCTTCTATGATATTTCCTCCTTCATTACAATAACTTTTCAGTATCTTGAACGTCCTTGGGCAGTTAAGATTCTTCTGTTGGTATTTCTTGGGAATATTGTTTCAGTCTTGTTTAAGGTTAATGAGAAATTTAAGAATATCTTCCAGAGATCTGCCCCAAGGCTGGATAGTTATGAGTGGCAGGGTATGTGGGATAGCATGGGCAAGTACCTAGGCCAGTGGGCACCCCCAGTGTTTTGGAACTTCACCCCTGAACAAGTGCAGAATCCTGAAAAACTAGTAGAATATTTGGAAGAAGTCTGCTGTCACCCTGGCAATTCCAGAGAGACACAAATCACTGCAACATGCTGGGGCCTGGCCCATGCCTACCGAGCCCTGTTCAACACTATTCAGTACCCTCAAGGGGAAGAGAAGGTCTCTGGATCTGATGACAAAGCGTCAGGCACTGCAGCTACTCCAACCCTTGCAAAAGGCCCTGCGGCTCAACCAAAGAACCAACCTGTGCTGGTATCAATCGCCCCTATACACAAGAAGAAATGTTGGAAGCAAAAGTCAGCTCGTTTAG